CTTTCACAGGCGGGACCCGAGGGAGAGCGAGTGGTGGCGTACTTCAGCCGGGCGTTCAACAAAGCTGAGCGGCACTACTGCGTCACCCGCAGGGAGCTCTTGGCAGTGGTGCTGTCAATCAGGCACTTCAAGTACTATCTGTGTGGCCTGCCATTCACTGTGAGGATGGACCACTCTGCTCTGCAGTGGCTCATGACATTCAAGGAGCCGGAGGGGCAAGTGGCCAGGTGGTTGGAGGAGCTCCAGACTTTCAACTTCAATGTGGAGCACCGGGCAGGGGCATGCCATACTAATGCAGACGCACTCTCACGCTGCCCGTGTGCCTCAGACGGGTGCCGCTACTGCGAGCGGAGGGAGACCCGCGAGAAAGAACTGTGTGAAGAGGAGGGAGGCTGTGCTGCAGTTCGACAGGTGGAGTTCATATACCGGGAGCTGCAGACAGTGGACTGGGCAGAGTGGAGACATCACCAGGTGCAGGATGCAGACTTACAGCCTGTATGGTAGTGGGTGGAGGCACAGCGGCGGCCACCGTGGGAAGAGGTGGCAGTGTCCTCCAAAGCAACCAAAGGGCTTTGGTCTCAGTTTGGATCTCTGCACCTGTGTCAGGGCGTGCTGCAGCGGGCGTGGAAGGAGCCAGCAACAGGGGAGGAAAGGTGGCAGATGGCAGTCCCCAAAGACCTGCAGGAGGTGGTGCTGGAAGCTATGCATGGAGCTGCAGGGTCTGGACATTTCGGTGTTTCTAAAACACTCCGTCGCCTCCGTCAAGGCTTCTACTGGGGACAGTGCAGGAGGGACGTGGAGGACTTTTGCCACCGCTGTGACCCCTGTATGGCAAAAAAGGGTCCCCCAGGTTGCTCCCACGCTCCACTGCAGCAGTTTCCAGTGGGGACACCGATGGAAAGGGTGGCCGTGGATGTGGTGGGTCCGCTGCCTCGCTCAGACGAAAGAAACCGCTACGTCCTCACCGCCACAGACTATTTCACAAAATGGCCAGAGGCGTACGCCCTCCCAGACCAGGAGGCAGAGACAGTCGTGGAGGCCCTGGTGGGAGGCATGTTCAGCTGTTTCGGAGTACCGGAGACCATACACAGCGACCAAGGGAGGAACTTCGATTCTCGAGTGTTTGCGTCCATGTGTGAAAGATTGGGCATGCACAAGACTCGCACCTCTCCCCTGCGGCCCCAGAGTGACGGTTTGGTGTAAAGATTCCATCGCACCATGGGCCAGCAGCTTGCCATCCTCACTTCGCAGCACCAGCGTGACTGGGACAGGCATTTTGCCTTGGTGCTCATGGCGTGTCGCTCTGCGGTGCAAGAGTCCTCATCCTGTACACCCGCCCTCCTCATGCTGGGGAGAGAGCTCCGCACCCCCGCAGAAATGGTCTTTGAACGGCCAGACACTTCCCCAGGTCCTGAATATGCCCGGAGGCTGCAGAACCACCTCGAGTCGGCCCACATTTTTGCCCGGAAGCAGCAGCTGAGTGCTGGCATGAGACAAAAATGCAACGTGAGGGAAAAAGGAAAGCACTTTGAGGCTGGAGACCTGGTTTGAGTCTACAACCCCCAGCGAAAGAAGGGCCGGTGCCCAAAGCTCGACAATCAATGGGCCGACCCCTGCAGAGTATTGGAGAGGGTGGGCGAGGTCGTCTACAGGGTGCAGCTACCTCCTAAGGGAAGGAGAGTGGTGCTCCATAGAGAAAGGCTCGCCCCTTACAGAGGGGTCTCTTCTCCACTGGCATCTGGGGCACATGGACCTCCTCCGCAGCCTCTTCCCCCTGCCCACTCCCCGGCCAGCGCCCCTGGGATAAAGCAGGGGGCTTCAGTGCCTGTGTCACCAGCACTCAGGAACCTCACGACACCCATGTCCGGGTTCCCTGACCCTCAGGGCGGAAGCTGCCCACGAGAGTCTGAGTCGCTCCCCTTCTCTCCCCCTGGCCCATTGGACACAACCCCCCAGGCGGCCCAGCCATAAAGACAGAGAAGGCCCCCGGGACGGTTCAGAGACTTTGTTGTTCCATCTGGGATGGCAGATAGTTAAGAGTGAGACTTTAGGTTCCAGAGAGGGCAAGAATGCGCCCTGGTCTCACTGGAAGTGACGGTAGTCCACCCTGATCTTCCTAAAAATGTACTCATGTTTTTCCATCTGCATTGTGTGGGAGTGTTCATGTACAATGTTTACGTTGCTTGGGTTGTTCCTTGTGGGTAAGGAACTTTGTAGTGGGAGGGTATTGTAGCGACCCTGTACAGTAACAGCTGGTAATAGAGGGGTCAGGCTGTCACTTTCCTCTTTCTGGCCAATCACGGGACGCACTGTACACGTTAGTCAAGGATAGGTAGCCTGTGATTGGTAGAGCAGAGCGGAGGAGGGGGTTACCTGTTCTGTGTTGGGAGCTAGTCAAGGTTGTTAGACCGGAACCAACGAAGAAGAGAGTTGTTGAAACACACTGTAAAAAGACCGATAATGTTCGCTGGAGTTGCTCGGCACTACTGTTGACGGTTTGTGTTAATAAACCTCTTGCAAGGACTTCACTCTGTCTCCGACTCGTAAGTGGAACATTACAATATGAACATAAAACACAACAACAATAACAATGAAATGGAGGCTAATCAGGAGCCTAAACCAAGGCCGACAACCTGACACTGGAACAAGAACAGTTCTAAGAAACAAATATCAAAAACAAAAGTAAATTGTATTCTTGTAAAACCTTGTAGTGACAAGTTGCATCACCTGCAGTGTAATACAGAGTGTGAGTTGGACTTAGTGTCCCAGAAGTCCTGTCACTTCTAATTTCCCTCAAACGTTTTACAGCTAAAATGCTTTGTCATTAACCCTTAGAACAATAACTGAGGAGTACTTATATTAGGACTGTAGCGTGATTGTTTGTTGCAGTTTGATAAATAATTAATAACAAAATATGTAGCGATTAATAATAACTCAATTATGAATCATGAACCCATAATTTAGTAGAAAAAGAATGATGCTAATCAGCTTCCGCGATAAGACATCATTGATATAAGTAAGATGATTTAACTTTATTTTAAATTTAGGACCCCAGCTAATTAAGAAAAATAGGGAAACTCCAAAATGTTATATTAATCAACTATATGTCAACCTCAGGCTTGCTACAGTGTTCTTGTCATGGTGTACAGGGACCTATTATTTCATTTACACACAAATCAAATGATCAAGTTCTTTATAAATTAAATATTTATTGGACTAACTACATAACTGATGTACTAAACAGAAAATAAACATCTGGGATGGTGAGTGGTTGTGAGGCATGGGCCCCTGCTGAGCTGGTGGATGGGGTCAGGACTGTCCTATTGTCTTTCAAAGCGGCAGTAGAACTCGTTCAGCTCGTTTGCCAGGCGGAGGTCATTCATGGAGTGGGGGGTTTAGGCTTGTGGTTTGTTATCTGTCTGAGACTCTCCAGACAGAAGCAGAGTCACTTGCTGAGAGCTGGTGTTGCAGTTTAGTGTCTCTCACTTGTACTTTGACAGTTTAAACCTGTCACTGTCCGCACTCTTAGATGCCTGTTATTTTTTCAACCATAGCTGTGATATGGTAATGTTAGGTTTTCTAATCTACACAAGGGGGGGACAAATGTAACTTTTGCTTTACATTTTTTTATTAAAATAACTTCAAGAACACTGAAAGCAAATCAAATAACTTTGGGCTATAGTCTGACATAAAAAAACACAATATTTAAGATATTTCTTTTCAAAAAGATGAGAATCCATCGTGTGGAGAAAGGGTAGTGCAGGATGCGTGTCTGTGTGATTCTCACAGAGGGGGCTTGTCTGCAGCACCGGACTTTCTGCCGTTATGAAGTGAGCTGTCTCAGTCTTTTCCTTTTCATAGAGGCCTGGAACGATCTTCATACTGAAGTGGAAGACCCCAATAGATGTTGTAATAGCTTTAGCCCGGTCCGATTCTGCCACAAACGGTTTTCTAAATGCCGCGATGATACCTTGTTGTTGTTTTTGTGCCTTGGCCCCCGTCGCTGACAGACTGGGATGGTGGCGCTTCATATGTGTGGATGTATTGCCGTTGTCTTATGTCTTTCTCTTTAATCTATTTACGGACACGGCCGTCCTTTTGCGCAAAGCCTTTTAACCAACTTAATGCCGGTCGTCTTCATCCGCGAGTAGAGGGGCGTAGCGCGGTTCTTGCTCGGCTGCTTCTCTGAAACCCGTCTATAGAGGTCGTCCTTCGTCACAATCCTCACTACTCCGGAGTTTTCGAACCCCAAAAACGAAGGAGTTTAGAAACACTGCCGAAGCCGGGTAAGTTTGAAATCTCCGGGGCTCCGGGTTACCTCGTAGTGTGGACGGGCGGAAACGGTGACCTTTTAAAACGATGACGTAGACGCTTTTGCTTCTTGAATGTTTCTTATCAGTCATGGCGTGTCCTTCTCTGATTCGACAGAAGAAAACAAACATCAGCCTTGATACTGATCGACTAGCAGGTTAATTCAACATGGATAACGGAACCTTGTTGTCTTTACTAGCAGCTGTTGTTCAGTTAAATTCTACATTTTATATTTCTACTACTGCCGACATGAGGAGGAAACAGCTGTTATCGGAGTGGTTAGCGAGCGGTGTGTCCAGCGGCGGTATCAAACCTACGGAGCGGACGTCTGAAGGTTTGAGGAGGACGATGGACACAAAACGGAGGACTTTCTTTCTCTTATTAATGTTTATTTTGTTCTGAACAACTATTCAGAAGTCAGTCAAACATTTCATCAGCTCTCAGCTGATGAAATGTTTGAAATATAATCCAAACATTTCATCAACTAAGAGCTGATGAAATGTTGATGAAACATTGTGTTGCCTTCAGGACCCCAGAGGAAAAATCCACAGATGGATATCAGAGCATTAAAAACAGCCACATGTGATGGACTAATTCAGAGGAGGAGGAGGAAGAAAAAGGCTGATGTCAGACCCAATGCATGCTGGGACATTAATGCAGGTCTAACTGTGAGTGTGTTGTGTTTCACTATGAACACCTCTGAGTCTTTGGCCTTCGTCACCTTCACCGTCTACGGCTCTCTTCGTCTGAATAACGCCGCTCTGCTCATTTGCATATCTGTCCTTTACATTTCAGGACTGTGTATCAACCTTTTCCTCCTTCTGGTTGTTTGCATGGAGTCTGGTCTCCACAGGCCGATGTATGTTCTGCTGGTGAATCTGTGTCTGAGCGGAGTGATGGGCAGTTCATCCGTGTGTCCTCACATCATCACACACCTGTTAGCCGACAGGGAGGCAACTCTCCCCGGATGTCTGACTCAGGTGTTTTTCATCAACGTGTACAGCGGCTGTATCTTCTGTATCTTAGCTCTGATGGCCTACGACCGCTACGTCTCCATCTGTAAACCTCTGCTGTACCACTCCCTCATGACTCCGGCAAAGGTCCGGCTGATGCTGCTGCTGCTCTACTCCGGCCTGGGCTCCTCCTCGGCCGTCCAGGTGCTTCTGACCTCCAGACTCCGACTGTGCAGACACAGGGTGGATAAACTGTTCTGTGACAGTTTGGTCGTGGCGAACCTTTCCTGTAAAAACATGCCTCTGATCAATGTGTTCGGTCTGTGCTGCGCCGTCTGTTGGATCGTGTTCCCCTGTTTCCTGGTCATCGTGTCCTACGTTCACATTTTCATGGTGGTCCTAAAGAGCTCGAGGGCATCTCAGATGAAAGGGCTGCAGACGCTCACCCCTCACTTACTGACCTTCATTAACTTCTCCGTGGCCTCTTTCTTTGGGGTCATTTATAACCGCCTGAGTCACCGAGTTCCTGAAGCTGTGAATATTTTCACAGCTATTAATTTCTTCATCCTCCCTCCTCTGCTGCATCCCATAATTTATGGTGTCAAAATGCAAGAGATTCGGCAAAGTGTAAAGAAAATGATGAAAAGGAAAATGTTTTTTTAAGGTTTCACTGTTCTTCCTTCCTGTGAAGCTCCTGATGATGATGATTCTATTATATCCACTGCTGCTGTTATCATTAGTGCTGCTGCTCTCATCATATCAATCATTTATATCGTATGGACTGAATGTGTTGTACTTCTGTTCACATCTATTGATCTCTTCTCTAGTTTCTGATGTAAGAAGTGAGGAAGTGTCATGTTGTTCACATTTAAAGCTCTCGTATGTTTCATAACTTTCTGAATGTTTGACTCTTAATTAAAGTACATCAGGTCACTGAGACGGAGAGAAGAATTGTGTGTGAGAAAGAAACCTGAAATATAAAATGTAGAAATGTAAAGGGATTTTATTGAGTTCATTTTACTGATGATCAGAACAGGAAATGAAATCAATAAAGTCAGAAAAGAAAGAAAAGAGTGGAGAACAAAATCAAAGGATCAGAACTGAACCAACCTCTCTGCTTCAGACTCGCACTGTTGGGATTCCAGTCGAGGAAGAGTGATGAAGAATAAATGAAAGAATGAAATGTGATCCAGAACTCTGCTCGTCTGGTTCAGTAGTTTGAGGTCAAACGAGGGTTAAAAACTTAAATACAGTTTGTTCAATAAAAACATTTGACAAAGAAAATGCTCCAAATCTTTCTTCATTCATTGTTGAATCTATAAAATTAACCTTCGAAAACATGGAAAGATTCAATTTATTGAAATATAAAACACAGAAAAAACTGAAAATCTGGTCAAGAAAAGGTTTTAGTGACGTCACACACAGTGTGATTCACAAATAAAATATAAAGAGAAGACTCAAATAAAATCTCTCCTCCAATAAAGAGTTTAATTTAACCAGATTGTGCAAAAACATTAAATTGTGAAACTATGAAGTCATGATTGATTCATCTGAGACCAAGGGGAGGAGAGGAGAGAGGAGAGAGGAGAGGAGGGCAGAGGAGAGGAGAGGAGAGGAGGGCAGAGGAGAGGAGAGAGGAGAGGAGAGAGGAGAGGAGAGGAGGGCAGAGGAGGGGAAAGGGTTAGAAATACTCTCATTCACATGAACGCAGGAAGGAAAATAACTCGGCAGTTTCAGCTTTTTACTGCTTTTAGAACCCAACCATTTAAATAATTATAGATATATATAAATAAACATTTCTCTGAGTTACAGATGTCTTTTTGTCAACCTAAGTCTATGGGGGAACTCTTGCTGGACCTCGTGACATCACATGACCGATCAGGAAGTTGTAGTTCCACCGTTAGGTCATGATGTGAAATCGTCTCTTCCTGTAGTGACGATGTGACGGAGACACTTTCAACATTTAGTTTATTATTTCATATTAGAATATTAACATTTCTTATCTGTGTATCCAGCAAAAATATAAAGTTTATATTTTCACATTTAGTCTTCTTTAGATCTGAGAGGACAAACGCTGCTGTTTCCTGTAATAACCATGGCGACAGCAGAGCGTCCTCCCATGATGCAGTGCGTGAGTGCTGATTGGCTGTTGGTGAAGCTGGTTTGAGCTCCAGAGTGTCCACAGTCTCCTCTGGGTTTGGCCTTGTGTTGGTTACTGATGGAAATAGCTGCTGTTGATGAAGCTGCTACAGAGAGGAGCTCCTCCGGGACTCATTAGTGTTAAAGATACAGTAAACACGATAAGTCCTCCATGTCCTTATGTCCACAACAAGGACAACTAACAGAGCTTTGACCTGCAGAGGACCTCTAACTGGTTGATGCAACGCCGGCAGAAAATGACGTAATCAAGGACGGACCGTATGCTCTGCATGTGCATTGGTCTCTACTGTGGATATCAGTAGTTAGACGTGTACATTGGTCTCTACTGTGGACATCAGTAGTTAGATGTGTCCATTGGTCTCTACTGTGGACATCAGTAGTTAGACGTGTCCATTGGTCTCTACCGTGGACATCAGTAGTTAGACGTGTCCATTGGTCTCTACCGTGGACATCAGTAGTTAGACGTGTCCATTGGTCTCTACTGTGGACATCAGTAGTTAGACATGTCCATTGGTCTCTACTATAGAAATCAGCAGTTAGACATGTCCATTGGTCTCCACTATAGAAATCAGCAGTTACACATGTCCATTGGTCTCCACTATAGAAATCAGCAGTTAGACGTGTCCATTGGTCTCTACTATAGAAATCAGCAGTTAGACGTGTGTCAATAAAATCAAGTCAGAAAAGACCACAAGAATTGAGGTCAGTGTTGTGCAGTTTTTAAAAGACTTTTTAAGTTGGCTTTAAAAGTGTTAATAGAGCTGCAGCTCCTCACACCTTCAGGCAGGGTGTTCCACTGGTGTGCTGCTGTTACAGAGAAGGCTGATTGTCCAAAAGTAGTGCGGCGAAATGGTATTGTACAGTCTCGTGTTGAGGATATTCTCGCTGATCTAATAGAAGTTGCTGAGCTAGTATATACAAAGTCATGGAGTGGAGGAGGGGCCAAACCATTTAGAAGTCTGTAGACCAGGCACACATCTGAGAACAATCTAAAATTATTAAAGCTCAGTAGATTATGCTTCTCCAATACCCGACAATGGTGAAAGTGCAACGGCCTTTTGTCCAGAATTTTTATTGTTGTTTAACGTTGAAAAGGCGCTCAAATAACCTTGGCTAAATACACATTACATATGAAATTTTGACATCTTCATCTATCAAACGTACTCTTTTATGTTTCTCTTGTTTTTCAGATCGAGAGACTATCATGTATATCATTTATTAGCACCTTTAAAACAGCTTTGCTTTCAATAAACAACTCGTATTCTCGTATTGTTATCACTTTCTTTCATACATCTTTGTGGAAATGCTTTTCATAACAGTGTGACAAGGAAATGTGCCTTAATTTGAAATGTTCATACAATACTAATATATCCAATCAGAGGGCAGCTTGTGAGTTCACAGCAGTCATGCAGCTACATTTCTATTGTCATACTTTACACCTTAAAGAACCACGAATGCATTCTCAGTGTCTGATAAACCCTTAAACCTGCTGGGCCGCCCTGACATGAGAGGCCTACATCTTAGCAAAGACAAGACTTTTACATATGATTTGGATTTTGGACATATTTAGCCCGTACAGTAAGGGGTTGAAAACCGGCTGGCATGTAAGCCAGTATAATGACAACACAATTCTCAAAGTATTGGGTAGATTGTTCATATTGAACCTGCTCTGTAATACTTCAAAGCAAGCCCCACATGAGAAGTTGAGCAGAGAAGCGAGGTGAGGTGTGCAGGTACTGACAGCTTTCTGTCTGGTCTGTTTAGAACCAGAGAAACAAACTCTAAAGATCTTCATGTAAGAGAAGAAGATTAGAATGAGAGGACAAAAGATCGAGAGTGAAGTAGCAATGAGTCCATAGATGTTATGAACTGAAGTGTCATCGCAGGCTAGTTTGACAATGGAGTAGTTGTCACAGTACACTTTCTCAATAATGGTCCCACACAGCTGTAAAGAGGTACTCAATGATGTCATCACAACACACAGCAGTAAAGGGCCAAGCCATGTTACAGCAAAAAGAACAGTAATCTTGTTAAATGTCATACGTGTGTTATATTGTAGAGGATAACAAATAGCAAGATATCGGTCATAAGACATGACGGCTAAATTTAAATACTCAACACCTCCATAACAGTACAGGAAGAAATTCTGCAGGAAACAAAGTGGAGCAGAAACAGTGTGAATGTCAGAGAGG